GGCCAGAACGCCTTGATAGCTGTCAAGAAAGAAAGGGGGGGGAAAGCATTTAGGCAAGGCGTTAGAGGGGCACGGGAGACGCATGATAGTGGTGCATGGACGAAGCAACAGAGAGCAGTGCAGATGCGCTGGTGCCGATAAGTCAATCTCCAAAATCAAACAGACACGTGGTTACAGACGGACGCGAGACAGCAGCTACAAACGCGGGATAGGACTCACTCTAGCCAGTCAATGTGATCTAAGCTCGTGTTGTGACGCCCCGTTATAGTCACACGGGTGGACAGGCCCTTCCACGCTTCCACCATAGGCCCTCCTTCCTGCGCAATAACCTGCAGCGAGGAGCAACGCAGAAGGGTGAGGTTGACGAAGGGGGAGAGGGAGAAGAGAGGGAGGGAGAGTACGAGAGAGTGCGATCCGCACAAAGAGCAGAAAAGCACGCATTCGCCGCATCCCTTCCAAGCTGATCTGAACCCTGGAATGAGCTGAACTGAACCCAGGGAAAAAAAGGCGCTGACGCAAAAGACACCCAGAGCTTAGCTCAATGCCGTACAGGAATAGCCCGAGCCCCCGCAACCGCATATAGTGAAACCCCGCCCCACCTCAATCGCGTTTCCCAGAGACTTGAGGCCCGAGCCGAGGGTAAGAAGTGGGCAGGGCATTCCCCGCATTCCGTTCCAGGCGATCCAGTCCGGCAGATTATTGCGCCGTCGCAAAACACGCGTGGAACCTCCTACCTCACTAGCGTACAGGAATACCCCGACCCATATAGGAATACCCCGACCCACCTCGCCAGCATACAGGAATACCCCGACCCACCTCGCCTGCATATAGGGAAGCCCCGGCCCACCTCGATGGCGTATCCCAGGGACTTGAGGCCCGAGCCGAGGGTGAAGAAGTAGGCATTCTCCGCATCCCGTTCCAGGCGATCGGTCACGAACGCCAGCAGAGGCGGTCTAAGATTGGCCGAGACCTCCGTCAGCCATCGCAGCGCGCCTTGGACCTGCGCCGCCCGTCGCTCCATCAACCCTTCCTTCAGCTTCAGTAACTTCTTAACGAGCGTCGAGTCCCTCTTCGATACAGTCACATCTTTCACTATCACCTCTCGGCTCTGCAGCTGCCTTTGTCCAAAGTCTATCTGCACCTGGCCATCTAAGACTGCGGTTTCTAAGGTCTGACTTGTTGCTGAACTGTGGACATATAATCCTATACCGAAGCAGATGACTGCAGCGAGGATGAACGGAAGGTACACCCATCGTGCGGTAACTCCAGCGGTGCTCCTCTTAGCGTGTGACGAATACAGATCAGAGCTATTTAAACTGCTATTTCGGCGAACGCGGTTTCTAGACCGTTGCCGTTCAGGCACGCCGCTACACCTGACGGGCTCTGCAGATTCCGTGTCGAACGAGCTCGGCGCGCAGTGGCGATTCGCCGATGCGTGCCACGTGGCAGAGGCAGATGCTGACGAATGTGACGGCCGTTTCATTGCTGACGTGGGAGATGGGGGAGCCCCTCTGGGCTCGTCGTCGCACATGGTGGTTGCCAGCTCAGCAGAAAACGAATGACGACTCTAGGCGATACTGCGAAATGGGGTTACGTCGTTGAACGCGAGTAACGACTCTAGGCGATAAAGACATCCTTAAACGCACAAACGAGGGGGTGTGACAGCGTGATTTTTGTCGCATCGAAGCAGTGTGCTTTACTACGAGTAGATACTAGCAAGAGTCGTTGAGATGATCAGCGTGCTGTAAGATTACCCCCTGAGCCTACAAGCTTGCGAGGGAATTCAGCAACGACTGTCGGGAAGATCATTGAATTACGGAACGAACTCGACAAGACAAATGTTGAGTTCCGGAGGAGGTATGCCCTGCAGTGTCACTCATAAGGTCGCCGGCTTGCCATGGCTACTCGTCTAGTTCGCTCGACTAAGTTCCAGCCTACTCTGCCTGCAATCAGAGAACGATAGCGTTTGCCTAACCAACAGCAGAGGGGGTGCCGCGACTTGAACCCAGTGAGGAAGAAACCCGAGAGAGAACGGTAAGGGAGAACCGACGAAGACGTAACTGGAGGGCCGCGATACTGGAGTTTCCAAAAGTCGCCTCGATTCCCGAATCCCAAACCCGCCAAGGCCGCCTTGAGATTCGAGAATGTTGAGTCAAGCGGAGATTCCGAGGTTCCCCTTCCCCCCCCTCACTTTCTCTCTCAAGTCTCGGGTGTCAGGGAATTGCCGCTGGGGGAACAACGCGTGTGCAGAGGCAACCACTAACCCGCGGGAAGAGCCCGAGGGCAAAGGTTAGGAAAAGCGGGGGAAGTTTAATCTACGGCTCACAGCCGAAAGTCGGGGAAATGGGTGCAATATCGGACGGGTATGAAGATGATTATATTCTGACCCGCCGAGCCAGTAGCCAAAGCTCGCTAGCGTCGCGGGCCGAGCCTGGTTTCATCTTGTGCCGGGCCTGAACGTGGCTGGCTATTATTTGGCAGACCGAATTGACGTTCGCTGCGATTCGGCAACCAACATCACGCTGTACGAACCCTGCTCGTCCGGCATGGTTCGTCACCAGAAAGGCAGAAGGCGGGAACCCTCGAGTCAGGTATGGCGGTATGCTGGCGTGTCAGGGAAAAGACTTTCCATGAACTGCCTCGCTTCAAGGACCCAGTGAACAAAGCTTGATAAAGATAATACACTGAAAAAAATACACACAAACATCACCCAAAAGGCTGACTGAATGTCTATAGGCTAGGTGGGTCCAGCCGTCGAAGCAGATATTCCACCTGCACCTTCTTTGTCAACGGCATTATCCACTGGCCATACAGTCTCGCAACAACCTCTGGTTGAATCTTGAAGCTTCCCTGTGGCTGCTGATTATTAGGATTTGAAGTCGCCGCTCCATCATCATTCACCCCTTTCGACGCCTCGCCAGCAGAATTTGCAGGACTTTCAGATATATCCTGTCCAAAGGTGGCCGCCTTTCTCTCAACCCGGCGTTGAACGGCAGCTTCGACATCATTGAATGTGAGCAACTGCATCAGCCCATCCGCATCTTGCTTCTCAATCAAGGCTCTATATGTATCCGGATTCTCCTGGAACTTTGCCTCGGCGACAAAAGCCCCAAAGTGGATCCGCTTTGAGAGAGCCTGATGGGTACGGAAGAGGGATGAGGGAGATGCACACAGAAGGGAGGAAGATGAAAGAGCATGGGAGAACAGCATCCACTGTGTGTGCAGCATGGGACAGTCACAAAATCAGCAGAAAGAATAGGGGAATCTCTTACAAAAACGAGACAAATGGCTGACCTGCAGGCAAAGAACGTCCATGGTGACAGCGGAGCCATAGTTGAAGTCGTCTCCGTCTCGGGTGATTTCAGGCAACAGGTCGTCAAAATACATTTTCCAGATAATGGCGTTGATGTTTATGGTGCTCGCTGCATCATGCAGCACCTGCATTCATGTGCACGTACACATACAGACACACATAGGCATTCAGGCCCAACCCTTAACATGATGACTCTGAAATTGCACCGGACGACAAATAACTTATCATTTTGAAATGGCTGGTAGTTGAGGGAGCTGCATATGGGGTGGCATGTTGGTTGTCAAAGGGGAAGGCCATGTATCTGACGTACCTTGGGGTAGTTCAATTGAGGCAGAATGAGAGGCGGAATGGCATCTGGGAAGAACGGCCGCTCTGTGGGGCTAGTATAGCGCCGAACCTGGTGACACGTGGCAAACGGACAAGGAGCAGAGAACAGATATGGAGGTGGGTGCAGTGGAGTCCAACTCTCCGTCGAGCTCACGACGACGAACCGGGCGAGACGTGGAGGGGTATGAGTGCCATTGTCAGCAAACTTTCAGATGTACACTGTAGCTTTAATGGTAGCACTCTTCGCCGTAAAGCCAAAGAGCGGCAACAGGAACATTCTTAGTGGGAATGGCGGAGAATTGCGAAAGGGTCGAGAACGCGTAGGCGATGTAGTACCAAATTTGAAGGATGACAATTACCTTTCCGTGGAGCATTTCCGTTTCCCGCATGACGAACTCCAACAGCGATCCGTCGAACCCCGGAACGGGCATGGCTGACGCGTCGTACGCAGGTCGGTTGCGACAGAACTGTGATCGCTCGATCAACGAGAAGATAATGCTGTCCTCCTGGCGAATTAGGGAGCTACGAATGTTCGCCAATGTTACCGTGTGCTGGTCGCTGATATCCATATCGCCAACCTCCCCGTCTGGAAAGAAGGTCGCGGAGGGCCGAGCGGCTGCTGCGGAAATCGCGGAAGCTGAGTCAGCAGCGCCGAGGATTGCGGGGATCGGTACGACGGGAGCCGAAACGGAGGAAGCTGCGGAATCACTCCGTAGAGTATTAACTATGAGAGATGGGATGCGGGATATGCGGCGCGAAAGACGCTGAGATGGAAGCTGCTTACGCTGGAACAAGGGTATGATGGCGCTGCTGCTGGTAGTGAGTAAGATGCGTGACTCAATCGCGGGAAGCATCTCGACCAAGGGTTTAGGAAAGCAGCACCCAGGGTTTGCTCCACTAAGAAAGCAGCAGCACCTGGCGCAAGTAATAGTCACGCAATTAAGCTCCGCATTCAGCAGGCCGCCTAATCGCCACAGATTGAAGTTGGCGTGTGTCTGAGTCGGGAACTCCGACCCAGGGATCAACACTGAAGACTACTGGACGAAGCGTTGACTAAATGAGCAATAATACCTGCTCCTTGCATTCTCTGTGCATCGCAGGCGATGGAGCATAGCCTCTGTCAAAACTTCAACCACGCTGTACCACGCGATTTCCTTCTGAAGCATGCCAGAAACGTTAATAAACTCACTGTACCGTTCGGACCGTTCGAACTAACTGAAGTTCGGAACTGTATGTTCCAAGGGACGAGTGCAGAATTCCCAAGGGGAAATGGCATGGGAAAGCTGGTTGGTGATAGTGTAACTTAATGCTCGCCAGAGTTCGTCAATTCTTCGTGCACCAATGAAACTGCACAAGACGTAACATGTGTTGCAAAGCTGGCTTAAGCATTTGTACATAAGGAAACTCCGCTAGCTAGCCAATAGTGGCACCAAATACCATAACACCCTTTTGGATCTTACGCCCTGCAGGCACATCCCTTTCCCCTTGTTTACAGCCACCACTTGTGTGTGCATCTGACAAGCCTTTGGCTGCCATTTGCAGGTCCTCTAGAGTTATGGCATAGAAACGGTTGCCTAACTTGCAAGGGGATCCCTCAAGAGATCTTGATGCTACCGAGCGATGCTCCCCAACACCATCATACGTATCCATATTATGCATGTCTTCTCTTTTCGCCTGAATTGCCGTTGTTGCCTTCTCATTTCCCTTAGACTCCCCCTCGCTTACTGACGAAGCCCCCACATCCGTTTCAGACCTCCATCTCCTCCTCGGCGCATTCTTCCCAATCCGCCTGGAAGATTGGGCCATTCCCACATCCTCAGCCACAGTTCCTTGGCTCTTCACCCTCCTCTTTCTGCCTCCCTTCACCACGCAGTCAGCTCCAGAGTGGTCCTGAAGCAGCTGCTTCGCCCAGGCACTCCGAGGGGCCATGGACCTCCCGCCTCGCAGCGGAGGCATCAGCTTGAGCGCAGGCTGGTCACTGCTTGCAGGCCTGCTTCTCTTTGACAATGCCGCTGTGTTTGACGCTTGCTCCTTTTCCATAGCTCGAGGTTGATCTTGCCTGGAAGGGGAGGGAATCAACGGTTCCCATCCAGTTGGAATTGCCTCTGCTGCTGCATCAGGGTACGTGCAATCTTTTCCTGTTGCAAGCGTGCGTAGTCCTGCTGCTGATGCTGACAGCACTTCAGATGCCTTCAGCTTCAGACGACATTCTGCATGGCCTTCTGGACGTTGTCCTGCCTCTGGAGCTTCCCCAGAAAGCGTAGCCCTCAGCTGATCAGGCGTCATATCACGATGATTTGAAATGTGATCTTCCTGGTACCAGGGGACATTCAGGTCCAAGACAAGGACCGGCTCTGACATTTCAATGTTGAGGTCCACGTCAGGCGGGTTCCCATATGCTGCCAGAGAGCCGCCTTGCATCCGTGGCTCGGAATCAAGCCCATGTCTTGACATGGTGGCATTGTGGCTAGGTAACACTGCGTCAGGATGTAACATTGCATTGGTATGTTGCACCATGGTAATCAGCTGAGACGTCGTGTCTTGAAGCGGTACCGTGTCACTTCCATGATGACGTGGATCCGCGTCACAGTGACTGCACTGGAATGAGTGAGGCGAGCTCATTCTCGTGCAGATTCCAGCGGTGGTAGATCCCATGCTTAGACTTCCGACGTATGGCTTCATACCATTGCTCTGCTCCCAAGAGGCCATACTGATTGTCTCCTGGATACTTCCGCAGCAGCAGCTCGTTTGTTCGTCAAGTGAGACGATAGTCTCCAAGTCCTCTTCGGGAGGGTTCCAGGGATAAGGAGGGCTTGACGCCGATGCACTGCCGAAACTCATGCGGAGAGCCGTGGCTGGTGCGGGATGAGTCTAGCACTTGGTCTAAAAGTGGAACCGGTGATGCGGGAAAGTGTACAACTGGCCGAGACGTAAAATTGGTAAGAGCAGACCTCAGTTGCTCTGGTCGGACATGGACTAGACAGAACAGAGACAGAAATTACGGCTGAGGCTATCTGTGTCGGTCGTTAGAAACGGGGGGAGGAGACGATCAGGCCGCTGGTTTCCCTCGCAATGCGTTGTCAGGCAAATGCGGGGTGTAGTTAATACCATCGCTCGGCGTATCGTCGAGCCGTTGGCTGTGTGGATGCATGCACCATGAACCCAATCCCGAGTGGAAAAAAAGGCGGTGACGCTACGATCCCGTCGGTTCGCTTGTCACCCATCCCCGGGGTTGTTGCACGTGATTAGGACACACTTGTGGCCATTCGGTACTGCTCGACTAGCACATTCCCATCGCTCGCATCGCATCGTGCGAGACGGTGAGCTTTAACGCTAGCATAACAACCCCCAACAGTCGCTGAGACCGAAAATGCTTTGGAGGTTTGGACAGCCGCCAAGAGTGGAAGATATCGCTCTGGGATAGTGAGCAAGAGGGATCAGGCTGGGGGAAACCCGAGAGGCGACCTGGAATCAGGTTCGGCTGATCCCTCGAACCTTCCTCGACTTGAGAAACGGAAGGGAAATATACGATTCAGATCGACATCCCTAAACCGGAAAAAAAGCACGTGATGGACCAGGAAAGCGATCGCTGTAGCGATGCCAAGTGGAAATCGAGACAAGCGTCGGGAGTAGCGCTTTCCCCAGTCCCCCACTTATCGAGAGGGCACCGACTGACGCCTATGGCGTTTAGGACAGGGACGGGACGCAGGAGGACAGGAGTAATGATCAGCTTGCGCCAGAGCAGCACCGCCTTAATTTCCTCATACTGGTGCCAGGATCTTCACTTCTCCCATGAGCTGCTCTAATGGATGGCAGTCGGCACGTGAACGAGATGGCAAGCAAGGGTTCTGGCGGTTGATCTCGACAATCCCTAGATTTACGATCTCTTGTTGCATCCTCGTGCGGCCCATTGGTACTGTTGTCCTGTTCGTGCTGACATGTAATCTCGGACGACAGTAAAAATAAATCGAGAAGCCTCGATATAGTATCGTGATTGCGCAGCCTGTAACGAGGATTCCAAATCGCAAATTCTTGGACATCGGACTTCCTGGCCTCTATCATATCTTGACGGTTACCGCCATTTTCGACCAATCATAGGCAAGCGACGCTATTTGGCTGGGCTTGATATACGCAGCACCTAAAACGAAAGGTGGTCACTGATTCAGAGCAATTGAGTGTTTATAAGTGCCCACAAAGCATACATTATGGTAATGACCTACTTGCGTTATGTGCCATTAGTAAAGATAATATTCGGGTCCAAATGTAGGAGTTTACGGATGGCATTGAATGCTCCCAATTGACATGATTTGTAAATACCATAAAGAAAACAGCTCCCAAATGGGGTGCATACCCATTTTAGCCAAAGCTGAGCGTTCCAGCAAAAAATAGAAGTAATATTAGAATTACAGGACAAGAACACCGCATACACCTTTTTCCCTCTATGGTCCCACCCCGAACAGTCCAAATTGCAATCTCACCTACCAGGTTCTCAGCATGACTCGCGTTGACACTGAACCTGATTGGCTGCAGTCTGAACGATAACGAACTACCAAGTTGTATTTCGACAATTGCGAGTTTCAGAGCTGGATTGTTGCCCAGGCAACCAATCCAGTGCATGAGCGAGATTTTGTAACCAGGTGTCATTGCCTACTGTGGGATTTCCCCTTCAAAGTCCCGTTTGCCCGTGCTTTACAATTTCCTGCTTACAGGATCGAGCCGCGTGCAAAAACCGTGGGGCTAAATAGGAGAACAAGTGTACCTGATTTCGGCTCGCGATGAGATCACAACCGCTGGAGCTCCCCCTGTTCCTAGCTACCCCTTCCATAACCCCCGCCCCCCTTTCCCCCTATTTTCCACATTCCCAGCTCCGCAAATAAGGCCCCTGGAAACTGCCATGTCAAACGGCTGGCAGACTCCTTGGCCTTGCCGCGCTCCACGGGCTGGCCACGACGCTTGGCGAGATCGCTTCCTTCGGGCTTGCACGGCGGGGGCTGGGCTGACGAGGCTGCTGGTTACCAGAGGCTCTCGATGCCGCACCACAAGCCTGTGGCAGCTGGTGACAGTCGCCATCCGCGTTTAGAACAATTCGCACAGCTTCGCTAGTGTTCATATCGGCGTTCGCATTCGGAGAGGCGGAGATTGCCCTCCTTCTGGACGCGCCCTCATCGATAGTTCCCGCGCTTTCACTGCGTCGGAATTGCCGTGGCGTGGTTGGATTATTCGCAGTGCTGCCAAACCCCCGGATAGAAGCACTTACTTGCCCGCCCATCCCGCCCCTCATATCTTCAGTGCAAAATCCGGCCATGTCATGCAGATCTAGCACTGGGCCGAGCGCCGCAACCACCTCGGACATTTTTGGGCGGCGCTTAGCTTTTTTCAGCAGGCACTCTTTGACGATCGCCGCCACCATTTGTGCGCCGCGAGCGGAGTACCGCCCGCGGAGGGTGGGGTCCATTATGCGGTAGAGCGTGGAGGGCGCGGAAAGGAAGGGGGATGCCCATTCGACCAGACTCTGCTCCTCGCGCGGTCTGGAAAACGACAAGGTGAGAGAAACCAGAATCTAGGTCAGATAAAGAAATCGAAAATGATGAATATTTGACAACCACAGACGGTAAACAGAAAACTTAATAAGGGGGACAATGGAAAAGGGGGTCTGTAAATTACCTGTCTTTATCCAGCGCCAGCCTCCCAGTCATCAGCTCCAGCAGCACGACGCCGAAGCCGTACACGTCGCTCTTCGTTGTAAGGTGCCCCGTTAGCACGTACTCGGGCGCCGCGTACCCTACGGTCCCCACCACGCGCGTGGAGACGTGTGTCTTCTCCCCATCGGGCCCTTCTCTCGCCATTCCGAAATCCGATAACTTCACATCGAGCTCGTTCGTTAGTAGAATATTCGACGTCTTGAAGTCGCGATATATCACCTGATGCTCCGCTTCCTCGTGCAGATACGCCAACCCCTTGGCCGCGCCATACGCGATCTTCAGCCGCTGATGCCACGTCAGCGGATCGGCCTCCGCCTCCTCCCCGAAAAGCAGAAACTCGAGGGAGCCGCGGGGAAGGAACTCGTACACTAACAGCCGTTGATCTGCCTCGGCGCAGTACCCAACCAGATGGACGAGATTCGGGTGTTCCAGGAGTCCGAGGAAGCTAACCTCAGTCAGCCATTCCCTCTCCCCCTGGTGCCCGCACGTGTCGAGCACTTTCACGGCCACTGGAATTTTCCGCCCGCTGCGTGTGGGGAGGTAGCCCTTGAAAACAGACCCGAACCCGCCCTCGCCAAGAAATCCCTCGATAGCGAAATTGTTCGTCAATTCTTCCACCTGCGCATATGTGAAGGGGATTGGGCCTGCCATTGTCCGCCCAGGCAGGCCGTCGTCTGTGGCCTGGTAACCAGGTAAGGGCTCGCGAAACTCGCATGGCGTTGATAAAAACTCGCGATGCGAATTGGAGCGTGGCGAAAATTCGCTCGAGGGTTCGCAGATGGGCATCAAGACGCCGGCGCGTTGGTGAATGCCTGACATGATTGGCGAATTCGCCAGTTCTGGTAACGACTTGGATTTTCCCAGCTGATTGTCAGGGCTGACAGCGGCATCACCTGTAACGCATCGCATCGTGCGAGACGGTGAGCTTTAACGCTAGCATAACAACCCCCAACAGTCGCTGAGACCGAAAATGCTTTGGAGGTTTGGACAGCCGCCAAGAGTGGAAGATATCGCTCTGGGATAGTGAGCAAGAGGGATCAGGCTGGGGGAAACCCGAGAGGCGACCTGGAATCAGGTTCGGCTGATCCCTCGAACCTTCCTCGACTTGAGAAACGGAAGGGAAATATACGATTCAGATCGACATCCCTAAACCGGAAAAAAAGCACGTGATGGACCAGGAAAGCGATCGCTGTAGCGATGCCAAGTGGAAATCGAGACAAGCGTCGGGAGTAGCGCTTTCCCCAGTCCCCCACTTATCGAGAGGGCACCGACTGACGCCTATGGCGTTTAGGACAGGGACGGGACGCAGGAGGACAGGAGTAATGATCAGCTTGCGCCAGAGCAGCACCGCCTTAATTTCCTCATACTGGTGCCAGGATCTTCACTTCTCCCATGAGCTGCTCTAATGGATGGCAGTCGGCACGTGAACGAGATGGCAAGCAAGGGTTCTGGCGGTTGATCTCGACAATCCCTAGATTTACGATCTCTTGTTGCATCCTCGTGCGGCCCATTGGTACTGTTGTCCTGTTCGTGCTGACATGTAATCTCGGACGACAGTAAAAATAAATCGAGAAGCCTCGATATAGTATCGTGATTGCGCAGCCTGTAACGAGGATTCCAAATCGCAAATTCTTGGACATCGGACTTCCTGGCCTCTATCATATCTTGACGGTTACCGCCATTTTCGACCAATCATAGGCAAGCGACGCTATTTGGCTGGGCTTGATATACGCAGCACCTAAAACGAAAGGTGGTCACTGATTCAGAGCAATTGAGTGTTTATAAGTGCCCACAAAGCATACATTATGGTAATGACCTACTTGCGTTATGTGCCATTAGTAAAGATAATATTCGGGTCCAAATGTAGGAGTTTACGGATGGCATTGAATGCTCCCAATTGACATGATTTGTAAATACCATAAAGAAAACAGCTCCCAAATGGGGTGCATACCCATTTTAGCCAAAGCTGAGCGTTCCAGCAAAAAATAGAAGTAATATTAGAATTACAGGACAAGAACACCGCATACACCTTTTCCCCTCTATGGTCCCACCCCGAACAGTCCAAATTGCAATCTCACCTACCAGGTTCTCAGCATGACTCGCGTTGACACTGAACCTGATTGGCTGCAGTCTGAACGATAACGAACTACCAAGTTGTATTTCGACAATTGCGAGTTTCAGAGCTGGATTGTTGCCCAGGCAACCAATCCAGTGCATGAGCGAGATTTTGTAACCAGGTGTCATTGCCTACTGTGGGATTTCCCCTTCAAAGTCCCGTTTGCCCGTGCTTTACAATTTCCTGCTTACAGGATCGAGCCGCGTGCAAAAACCGTGGGGCTAAATAGGAGAACAAGTGTACCTGATTTCGGCTCGCGATGAGATCACAACCGCTGGAGCTCCCCCTGTTCCTAGCTATCCCTTCCATAACCCCCGCCCCCCTTTCCCCCTATTTTCCACATTCCCAGCTCCGCAAATAAGGCCCCTGGAAACTGCCATGTCAAACGGCTGGCAGACTCCTTGGCCTTGCCGCGCTCCACGGGCTGGCCACGACGCTTGGCGAGATCGCTTCCTTCGGGCTTGCACGGCGGGGGCTGGGCTGACGAGGCTGCTGGTTACCAGAGGCTCTCGATGCCGCACCACAAGCCTGTGGCAGCTGGTGACAGTCGCCATCCGCGTTTAGAACAATTCGCACAGCTTCGCTAGTGTTCATATCGGCGTTCGCATTCGGAGAGGCGGAGATTGCCCTCCTTCTGGACGCGCCCCTCCTCGATAGTTCCCGCGCTTTCACTGCGTCGGAATTGCCGTGGCGTGGTTGGATTATTCGCAGTGCTGCCAAACCCCCCGATAGAAGCACTTACTTGCCCGCCCATCCCGCCCCTCATATCTTCAGTGCAAAATCCGGCCATGTCATGCAGATCTAGCACTGGCCGAGCGCCGCAACCACCTCGGACATTTTTGGGCGGCGCTTAGCTTTTTTCAGCAGGCACTCTTTGACGATCGCCGCCACCATTTGTGCGCCGCGAGCGGAGTACCGCCCGCGGAGGGTGGGGTCCATTATGCGGTAGAGCGTGGAGGGCGCGGAAAGGAAGGGGGATGCCCATTCGACCAGACTCTGCTCCTCGCGCGGTCTGGAAAACGACAAGGTGAGAGAAACCAGAATCTAGGTCAGATAAAGAAATCGAAAATGATGAATATTTGACAACCACAGACGGTAAACAGAAAACTTAATAAGGGGGACAATGGAAAAGGGGGTCTGTAAATTACCTGTCTTTATCCAGCGCCAGCCTCCCAGTCATCAGCTCCAGCAGCACGACGCCGAAGCCGTACACGTCGCTCTTCGTTGTAAGGTGCCCCGTTAGCACGTACTCGGGCGCCGCGTACCCTACGGTCCCCACCACGCGCGTGGAGACGTGTGTCTTCTCCCCATCGGGCCCTTCTCTCGCCATTCCGAAATCCGATAACTTCACATCGAGCTCGTTCGTTAGTAGAATATTCGACGTCTTGAAGTCGCGATATATCACCTGATGCTCCGCTTCCTCGTGCAGATACGCCAACCCCTTGGCCGCGCCATACGCGATCTTCAGCCGCTGATGCCACGTCAGCGGATCGGCCTCCGCCTCCTCCCCGAAAAGCAGAAACTCGAGGGAGCCGCGGGGAAGGAACTCGTACACTAACAGCCGTTGATCTGCCTCGGCGCAGTACCCAACCAGATGGACGAGATTCGGGTGTTCCAGGAGTCCGAGGAAGCTAACCTCAGTCAGCCATTCCCTCTCCCCCTGGTGCCCGCACGTGTCGAGCACTTTCACGGCCACTGGAATTTTCCGCCCGCTGCGTGTGGGGAGGTAGCCCTTGAAAACAGACCCGAACCCGCCCTCGCCAAGAAATCCCTCGATAGCGAAATTGTTCGTCAATTCTTCCACCTGCGCATATGTGAAGGGGATTGGGCCTGCCATTGTCCGCCCAGGCAGGCCGTCGTCTGTGGCCTGGTAACCAGGTAAGGGCTCGCGAAACTCGCATGGCGTTGATAAAAACTCGCGATGCGAATTGGAGCGTGGCGAAAATTCGCTCGAGGGTTCGCAGATGGGCATCAAGACGCCGGCGCGTTGGTGAATGCCTGACATGATTGGCGAATTCGCCAGTTCTGGTAACGACTTGGATTTTTCCAGCTGATTGTCAGGGCTGACAGCGGCATCACCTGTAACGGGTATGACTTTACGGATCGCTTCGGCTGCAGCAGCGCTGTTACTTTTCACGATCTGACGGCCCGCCGTCTCTGCCGCTCCTCCGTTGATCTCAGCCGAAATCGACGGCGAAGACGTGATGCTGGATGAGCTGGCAGGGCTGCACGTGGAACTCGACCCCCCTGACGTGGCAGGGCGGAGCCAGCTCGACTGTCGCCGGGATGCCGCCGCCGACGCCTTTTTCCGGCTGCGAGGGCTCTGCGACGCGTTAGAGCTGCTAGTAGACGTAGCAACGGCAGCAGCGGCCGCGGCGCCGCTGGGAGGAATCCCCTTAGGGCTCGGCAGCAGCTGCGGCTTCCCGCCAAAAGCGGCGCCAGACGCGGCGCTGTCCTTGGGCGGGTGCGCTGGCGGAGTGGATGGCGCGGAGCGTGGGCTGTTCGCCGCAGAGAGGCTGCGCGCGCGCAGCTTGGACAGGGGCGCAGACTCGGAGCGAGAGAGGAAGCTTCCGCGCTGCTTTCGAGCCACCGGGGATTTGCATGTGGATGCAGCGCCGGGCGTCGATTTGCTGATGCGGGAAGGCTGGGAGGGTGGGGGCGAATCAGGGCGTTCCGGAGAGGACGTCACGAGAGCTGAAACCGAAGCAGCCCATAGTGAGGTCTGTTGGAATCGTATTTGACGGTGGAGATTAATGATGGAAATGGGGAGTTACAGTGACGCTTTGACAGCAGCGAGACGAGGTGAGGCGCGATTGAATGGTACTCAATGCTCAATGCTCGAGGCTCGAGGCTCAAGGCTCGAGGGAATTCTTTGAAGACGTTCGCCCTCTGCCCTCAGGGCTCAAGGAATGACTAGAGCGGAACAAGCGTGACTGGCTGCCCTCTGCGTTGGGTTCAAATAGTGCTGGTCTCTGCGTTGGGCTCAAATAGTGCTGGTCTCTGCGTTGGGCTCAGCTTGAAAGATGGTAAAGACTGTGAACCGACCAAATCATTTATGTGGTGCGTGAGGAGGTGTCTGAGGGGAGGAGGTGTGAGAGGAGGTGTGTGAGGCGGTGTGTGGGAGGAGAGGTGCGGTGTGACATCGGCAGAGCGTTATGGTGACGATCAGGAGAGCTGTGAGTGCAGGTAAGGAGGAGATAAGAGTACAGCAGTCGGATGCCGGAATTTCCGCTGGGGGAGGAGTCAGCTGGAGGCTCGGAACTGGGGAGACGGAGAGGCGAAGAGGCGGACTGAGGGAGTGGGGTGGGGAGAAAGAGAAGGGGAAAGGGCACGGATCTGTCATCTCCTGCGTTGTCGCATCGGAATTGGATCCGTCGAAAAAGGAGTACCGACGCGAGCGCCGTCGGTGGTGCTGCTGCTGCCGACTGAGCCTGCCTCGGAACGAATTATTCGCACGACTTCTTTTCGGCCAATGAGAACGAGGGGCATTTTACACCAATGGGAGCGAGGAGAGGAACGGGTGCCTCGATTCAGCGCATGTACTCTAAGGTCACGTGTCTCAGCCGTTAGATGGCAACTTGGCTCGAACGCATTGCACGGCTTCGATCAGGAGGAAGGAAAAAAAACGCGCGTCGTTCGTGCGAATGCTCGTGGCGAATAGGACGCGGACCCGCTTCTACCGCGTACGAAGACAGCCGTTCTTTTCTGCGTCGGCCGCTCCTTGCCTCTCCGGCTACCGTGGCAACTGCTTCGCCGAGGTACTGAACCTGGAATTCCAAGAGGCAGACCGCCGGCGGCTCGGCGAGCAGCCAACCAGCAGCAGCCATCACCTTCCAGGGCGTCGTACATGCTATCGCCTTTGCCCTAGCTCCTGCTACCCTGCACTAGGGTACCGTTACCGTACCATATTGCTCCTGCGCCTATCCTACTGCTGTGGCCATCTGCTGTGGCTGAGGGCGTGTGGCAAGTAGAATTCCGAAGCATGGGACGGAACGGGATCTCCGTTCGTTTTGATGCTACAGTGGTCACTTGCCACATGGACAGGAGTGTACTCGCTGCCCAGAACGAAATTAACCCAACTTACGACCCCAAGAAAACTGCATTGGCAAACTGCAAAATTGCGACACTCGCAAAATTCGCGAACCCAGCAATTATCGCCACAGCACAAACCACAGTTTCGCCAGGGGGTGTCCTAGAGTTGGCATCATAGGTTTCCCGTGTTTGGCTGTGTTGTGTGTTTCCCTATCGTTTTGCAATATCGCTTGCTCATGGGATAATTCTTCGTCAGCTCGCATTGGGCAGCCAGTCAGGTTCTTTTTTTGTGACCAGGCTGTTCGTATTTTGCCAAATTTTTGTTCCTCTCCCACGCTTTGTTTCTACAGTGGACACTTGCGACACGGGCAGTTTCTGCGAAGAGCGTGCGAACACCACTGTACGACGGATATCCACCTTCTTCGCTCCCGTCCCATCCCTCCGTTTTGAAACTACTTGCCACACACCCTAACCTACTGCGAGCGGATATGGCGGTGCTGCTTTGCTGTTTTGCTGGCATGCTGTGTGCCTTCTTGGCCGCACGAAAGCTTTCACGAGAAACGAAACCACACGAGGTTTGGATGCACCAATCAGAGGGCGAAGACACGAATGGTCGAATGCAGTTGCGTCGGTACTGCTTAGTAGCAGAATCGCCACTAGATTACTATTGGAAATAGCCGTGAAACCGTGGTTTCTGGTTAGGATGAAAACCACATTCTGAGCACAACACAAGGTTGGGGTATAAGGCCAAAATCCTCGTAATGAAGAACCCCGTAATACAGAAGATTATGTAGTGTTATTTTCGTTGATAAATAGCTTCATCCGTCATGATGTGCACCATACCATACTAATCAGGGCTTCAGAAATCATGACAAAATGCCCTGAAATGCTGTATATCAGGGTGTTCTTTTAGGGTCGTCCTATTTTTTCAGCTTTTGATTTTCCCTAGGCCTGAATTTTAGGGGTTCTCATTTGAGCAGGCCTGAAATATTGTATGTTCTTGTTTTGGTCACCCTGAATTATCACCTTTAACGGATTTCCAGCATGAAACAGAATCCTATCTAACCCGTCGAGGCGAGCTGGAGCAGCTGTGAGGGAGTTGTCAGAAACCCAGTCACTAACCACTGGGTTAAAAGGGCTTGTTGAATAGCGGATAAGTGCGCCCATAGCCCCCCAGGCTCTGCACCTGTGGCCCTTTCCCGAGGATCTCAAGGGCAACCCCAGCGGGTCACTCAACACCCGACCCCCCCCCCCCCCCCGCTGGGATAGGTGGAAGACACGAGCGCCTCTGCAGCGCTGGCACTGGGAATTGAACCCAAGACCTTTGGCTCTGATGTACCATGTCAGAAACCCAGTCACTAACCACTGGGTTAAAAGGGCTTGTTGAATAGCAGGTAAGTGCGCCCATAGCCCCCAGGCTCTGCAC